ATGTACTCAAACACTCTACCTAAATCCCTAATCACTCCAGACTTAGCTTCTCTTCATTTTTGTCTCTCTCCTTTCTCTTCATTTTTCATCTCAACTGTTGAATTTATTTTAGAACGGTTGAGATTTAATATTTTATAAAATTATTATTATATTTATTTTTTATAAAATTTTAATTTTTAATAATAATTTTATAAAATATCAAATCTTAACAGTTTAAAATGAATCTAACAGTTGAGATAGAAGTTGAGATAGAAAGTGATAGAAAGTGGAAAATGAAAAACATGGAGCCAAGTCCACTCACTCAAGTCTTCCTTTCTTCACTTCCCTAGGCGCTCCCTCGGCTTCCTTATTCAAGTCCTTATGTGCGCCGCTCTCGTCTCATCTTCAAGCTTTAGGTGTTCGGCGACGGCTACACTCTATCATCATTCAAGCTTTGGACGCTGCCTCTCTCCACTTTATAGTTTAGCATCGATGCATTGTTGCTAACCTCCGGTATTGCTACACTCCATCGGCCATTCCCAGATTTCTTCCCCTCCTCTATTGCATCTCTGCTTACCGTTAGTATTTGACGGCTGCAGCTTTGGCTTTGTTCTCCTCTCCCCAGATCTGCATCTTCTCAAAATTTTATCTTTATTTATGTGGTGGATTTGATTTTTTTTATCTTTCTCCCACTCTAGGGTAGAACTTCTCATTATTTTATTTTTCATTTAATTTATGGTTCTGATTTGATTTGTGGATGAGAAGGTCTTGTTTTCTTTTAGTTATGGGTCCTATCGATCTGTTATGAATATTGGATTTCAATTGAAACGAGAGAGGAGGAAGAATGAAGAAGGATAGAGTGAAAATGTTGGTGGTGATAGGTTACATAGTGGTAGAAGAGTTGGGAGGAGTTGCAGGGAAAAAAAAAAAAAAAAATGCAAGCCTGGTAGATTGGTCTAATAGTCCGGTAGATGAAGTCTAGCCTGGCCTTGATCTCGGATTTAACTAGACTAGATCAGACTTCACGTTAGAAAATCTAACCCGAGGTGCTTTTAGGCCAGACTTTGAGTTGATGTTTAACTCTGTCTAACCCTGTCTTTGTGCAGCCTTTTATTGAGGACACTGGGCAACGTGCGTGTGTAGATAATTAGGTAAATAGTTAGGAAATTTTTTTAAAAAAGATATGACTACAAATTAAATTGTCAAGAAGGACTTGTAAATGTTTTAAAAATGAGGTCCTTTACTATCAATAATTGGAAGGTTACATGATATAAATGCCTTAAATAGTGCATAAAAAATGAACAAGGTCTTTCCTTGTTAACATGTTGCATGAATCATTCTTCGTCAAAAATTAAATATTAATATGTAACACAATGTTATTTGATATTGATATGTCAAATAAGATTCTTTTGTGCAATTTATTGAGCCTTGAAGCATGAGATCTTTTGGTATTAATATGTCACATGCTAAGTTTCTTTCATGATATGCAAATCATCTTCAATGAGGCATACATAACATTTCTTTCATAATATGCAATTAATCTTTAAAGAAATGTAATTTTCTTTCATATATTTTTAGCATTGCTCATACAGATTCAAATATTCTTTGTTAATTTTGCTTATGGATATGCTTTTTAAAGTATATGCAATCTTCCTTCCACAATATACGACTGATTTTTAATAAAATATAATTTTTTTATACATTCGAATATTTTTTTGGTAATTTTTCTCGTGGATGCTTTTGAAAGTGCATGCAACATTTCTTTTATGGTATGTAATTGATTTTTAATAAAATACAATTTTCTTCTATATGTATATGAATATCACTTTTATAAATTTGAATATTCCTTGTTAATCTCTCTTATAGATACCTTTAAAAACATATGTAATCTTTATTTCGGGATATGCACTCGATCTTTAATTAAATACAATTTTTTTCATCTATTTGAATATTACTTATGTATATTCAAATATTTTTCACAGATACCTTTGAAAGCATATACAATTTTTCTTCCATCTTCAATGAAATATAATTTTCTTTTATATATTTAAATATTACTTATGCATATTCTAAAAAAATTAGTTTCAGTGTCAATTTTTTATATGAAATACACCTTATTTTTTAACATGGTTTTTGCATATTTTGAAAAAAAATTCTTGGTATCAAAATTTTGTATAGAATACACCTTATATTTGAATATTTTTCATATTATAAAAAAAATTATAAAAAAAATCCTTGTATTAAAATTTTACATGAAATGTATCTTATATCCAAATATGCTTTTTGCATGTTCTAAAAAGTATATCATTTTAAAAAAAAAAAAACTAACAGATACTCTTAAAATGAAAATGAAACTTAAAAAAAATTATTTTTTTCAAGAAAACACTCATGATTACTATTGTTACGTGTAAAGTTCAACTACATCAACTTGAAGCATGGAAAAGAATAATTAAACAATAACAAATCCATTTACCATTGAACAAATATCATGTTCTTACATTGTTTTTTTTTTTTGTGAAAATAAATTCATTAATCAAAACTGCATAGGATTACAAGGAAAAGAGATAAATAATATACGTTCGAATTCTACAGGTATTGTAAGTTCTAATTGTACGATCTACAATAGCCCTAACTTATGCTAAGATATTATCAGTTGTATGGGTTTCACGGATCCAAGGGACAACATTCTTTCCATTGAAATCCATATACACGCCTTTGCGAAGTATTTTTCTCCAAACAGTTGCAGCAAGGTCATGTTCCTGCGGTGTCTTTTATCCGATTGTCATCAGCTTCGTTTAAGATATAACTATATGCTGAAATAAGCGCCACTTCCATTGCCCATTATCACCAATATAATCATGGAGAGTCAGTGAGATCAGGTTCAGGAATATCAGCAAATAATGATAGATTTTTCAAGGGGCCTGAGTATTAGCCCTCAGTAATGAGAATTAAGCAAGTATGTTGCCTAGCAGTGAGAATTAATGAAGCAAACCATATAGCAAGATAATGACAAAAATAATAATTTAATTAAAAACTTTCTAATTAACTCCCGGGCTTTATTAATATACACTTAAAATTTCTCGATGTTGCAGAAAATTCAAGTGATCCCTTTGAGTTTAATATCTACTCGAAACCTTAATTTGCAAACAACACCCTAGTGGATAACTGCCCTATTCCTCCTATTCTTCAGTAGGTCATCTTAGACTTATTACTCACACCAAACAGCTGATAGGTGTGTGAGCTTGTAGTTGAAACGCTTTGAGAATTCACAACCCTTGGAATTCCTGCAATATTTAACAATAAAGATACTTAATGTGAAGATGCCTTTGATGGGGGAAATTCATAGAGGAAAATATCCAAATTTGAGATAGCTATACATCCAACAAAAGTTGCAAGAACAACATAATAAATCTCGGCAGAAACTCTCATCGTGAAATGAAGGAGAGTTGAAGCCTAGGTAGAGAGTGGTGCGAGAATATGAAGGACACAAGCGAAGTGAATGGTGCTGAAATCGAAGCATATTGGAGCAGAGGAAAAGACCCATCACTTTGGATCAAGAGCTCAAACATCAAAGGGCCTCACCAATCTCGTTGCTAAGAATCGAATAGGGTAGAAGCAAGCCTGGGTCTAGGAAGAAGGCTTCTGATAGAAGAGGACCATTGGATTAAGGAGTCGAAAAATCCTTAAGGCTCGAACCTTTTGTACTTCCTCATCCACTGTCTTCAAAATCAATATCTCACCTTACCCTAATTTGTCGCCATCACCATCGGAATCATGACCACCCATCATCGCCATCAGAAACACGAAGTTGCGGTAGAATGATGCTAGAAATCACATGGAGCGAGGGAGGGAGAGGATTTGGCTAACAGCATTTAAATTTTTTTTTTAATTAACTGACACTACACTGCAGAACCAAGGTACCTCCTCAGATTCCAAGTCCTTATGGGCAATAAATATATTGGTCAATTCTTTTTGAACAATTTTCCCAAATAATTAATCTGGTTGAATTTAAATACCTTTTTTTAAAAAAAAATTCAAATATTTTTCATTCACTGACACTACACTGCAGAACCAAGGTACCTCCTCAGATTCCAAGTCCTTATGGGCAATAAATATATTGGTCAATTCTTTTTGAACAATTTTCCCAAATAATTAATCTGGTTGAATTTAAATACCTTTTTTTAAAAAAATTCAAATATATATATATATATATATTTGTTGAGTTTAAATATTTTATTGAATAAAAATTTTGGTGTGTTAGATTTCATGCATTTACTAGGATTAATAGGATATCACAAAACAGAAACACTAAATAAAAATAGTTATAGATTTATTATTTATGAGCTAATATACTCCTTGCGGGGAGGAGTGTCGAGAGAGCAACAACTCAACTAGCCCCTTCTTTCTTTATTCTGGTGACCTTTTTTTTATTTTTGGGGGGGGGGGGGGGGGAGGTAAAGATAAGGATTGTCAATTTGTTAAGTTGAATCAGTGTAGCCCAACCTCATCTCAACACTTGGAATTACTGCACGTAACGGACGTCATGGACTGAAATACTTGACCCATTTGTTTACTATTTTCAGCAGAGGGCCTGAAAAGCCTATAAAAACCCAATGGCGAGGAACTAAGCATAGACTTTTTTGGAAAAAAAAGAAGACAATCTCATTTAAGATGTAAAAAAATATCAAGCTAAAATAAAGTATTTAATAATAAAAAATCTTCATAATTCAACTTAAATTTAAACTATGAAACATATCCTCCTTGAACCAGCACCTAGTAATGCGCCAAGAAAAATGGACAGGAAAATCCTTATGCAAGACAATGCGAGAAAAGCAGATTCAGTGCATGTCTTCAATTTCGGCAATACCACCTTTCATCGGCTTTCCTTTACCTTGGTTAAGACTAATTAATCAAAAGTAGTTTAACTTGCAACTTAAAAGTTTGCAATACGTACGCTCTAGTTAAATCAAATAATTGCTAGATAGTTAGTTGAACCTGCAAATTCATTTGACAAGCATGGAAACTTCAACTGTGTGGCATTAACAAATTTAAAAATACAAAGTTCAAAGTTTTGCTTTCTTCAACTCTCTCTTTCTGAGTAAACTCTCTTTCCAATGATATCTATCACATTTCTGTAATTCAGATATCACATGGCGTTATATATATACATGTTGGGAAACGGGAACGAGGAACTCTGATCTATTTATTCGGCTTTCTGGAGAGACGAGATAGAATCCAATAGACGTATCCAGCGGAGAAGAAGCTTATAAACCAAGCATTGTTGTACATTAATGCAAAAGCTTCAGGAATGTCAGAAGTTAGAACTCCAACTCTCTGCAAGAAACCAGGGATTACTGGCAAAATACCAATAGCCAGAGCCACCATCGCCAATAAATTAAAGCCCCCTGTGTAATAGTAAGCTCCATCAGGACTACGGGAGTACAGATCTGTGATGCTCAAATTGGTCGACTGTACAAGATAGTAATCGACCAAAAGAATCCCCCCAATAGGACCTACGAACGCAGAATAGCCGAGCAGCCACGTATACACAAAGCTCTCACTAGACTTGAGAAGCCTCCAAGGCTGAAAAGCAATCCCTAGCAACGCAGTGACTAGAGCTCCTCTTCTGAAAGTGAACCGCGAAGGGCTCAGATTCACAAGCGCATTCGCAGGTGCCACGACATTGGCAGCGATGTTAGTGGTGATAGTGGCAAGACTTATTCCTATAATGGCTAGAATAATCGTCGTGAAGCCACCAATCTGGCCGAGTAGTTGAATTGGGCTAGAAATGACCTGCCCAAATATCACCTTCGTCGATGAGGTCACCGCGAGGCCGACGAACGTGAATGCCCCCATGAAGATGGGAAGCCCAATCTGGCCAACGACTTGATCAGTCTGGCTCTTAGCATAGCGAGTAAAATCAGGGATGTTCAGGGCCACCGTAGCCCAGAAGCTTATGTTGGCAGTTAGAGAAGGGAAGAACAAGGACCAAAACTCTGATTTGGAGAGCCTAGAGGACAAGGAAAGCATGTGACCAAACCCACCTGCTTTAACGCCAGACCACATGAGAAGACAGGAAGTGAGTAGAATGAGTATTGGAGCAGAGTACTTCTCCAGCTCTCGAATCCCATCAATTCCTCTCCACACGAAGGCCAATTGTGCCGCCCAGAAGGTCAAAAAACAGGCAAATTCAAGGGGGGAAGTACCGAGCCAAGGAAGATAGTGAGAGAATCGAGTTTGTTTGATTGAGTTTGGCAGGAGAAGGAAGATAGCCTCTCCACCGATCCAAGACTCAATCCCATACCAACCACACCCAACGAGGGCTCGTATAAGAGTGGGAATATGAGCACCGTGGATTCCAAAAGAGGATCTCGCAAGAACCGGGAAGGATATGCCGTAGCGAGTACCGGGATGACCGGTGAGCACCAGAGGGACCAAAAGGATGGCGTTGGCCGCGACCACCGTGGCTATGCCCTGCCACCATGACATGCCGAGGTCGACGAGGCTGCCGGCGAGGTAATAGGAGGGTACACCCACCACCAGACCCACCCAGAGAGTGGCCAATTCCAAGCCAGAGAAAGTGCGCTGGCTGGGAGTGGTAGGCTTGAGGTCGTCGTTGGTGAGGGAAGGGTCGGGTTGGAACGGGAGGAGGCTACCGGAATTGGAGCATCTCATGGTGGGTAAATGGGAGGAATGGCGGGGGTTGGTGGGTTTTGCGGCGGTGAAGGGGGAAACATGAGTGGGAAAGCAAGAGGGCTTTTGGATTTTGGAGATTGGAAAGGGAAGATGAGGACGGAGGGAGAGACACCTGGAGACCATGTCTTGGTTTAGAGGTCTCGTCACAGTTTTGGTTTGAGTGGAATCTGATGGAGTTTAACGCAGAGGGGGACTGGGTGGTTACGGTCCTGCAACGTCAATCTCAGTTCATGTGAACATGAATAATTGGCAATGATTTTTTATTCATTGAAAAAGAAAAAAAAATTATGGATCTGTTTGAATTTCTTTTGTTTTATATTTAAAAAATAAAATTTTATTTTTAAAAAATTAAAAATTATTTAAATAAAATATTTTATAAAAAAATACATGTCGAAAGTATATTTAAATAGTAATTGAAAGTAAATTTTTAAAATGTAACTATTTAAATTTTTAAAAAGTAAATTTAAAAAGTAAAATGTTATTTAATCATACTTTTTAAATTTGATCTCTTATCATTTTATTTAAAAAATAGTTCATTCATTAAAAATATAATTATTATTTTAATAATAATAATTAAATATTAATTTTTTTAGTATTATAAATTGAATAATTAATTATGTTAATTTTTAACATTAATTTATAATAAAAATTACAAATCTTTATCATATTTTTAAAAATTATAAATTTAAAAAATATAAATAATTTGACTTTAAATTTTTAACATTATAGATTAAAATTTATATTATTTAAAATCTTTATCACATATTTTAAATATTTTAAATATATTACATTTGTATAATAAAAATTATAAATCATCATAAATTAATGTCCTTTTTAATAATTATACATTTAAAAACATATTTAATTATCACAAACCAAACAGCATTCAATGTATCAAATTAACTTTTAAAAAATATAAAATATAAATTTTATTATAACAATTGATTTTCATTAAGCTGACTTTTATTAAATAAATTTTTATCAAATAACCTTTTAACAAATTAAAAATCAAACGCACACTATATTCCTCGATCATAAAAGGTGAGCATAAAAGCTGAAGCTTACCCAGAAAAACAAAAAGGCTGATTGTGAGATCACCTTCTCACCACATAAAAGCACACTTTTATTACTATTATATATTTCAACTGACTTTTAAATTAAATTATTTAAATAAATTTTAACTTATCTAAAAAATCAAACATAAATCACGTTATAATCACAAATTTTGCTCTCAATTTCAATTCAATTAATTAATTTTAATTAATTTTTAATCTCAATTGAAAATTTTTCAATTCAAATACACACTTAATCATGTTACATTGCAACACTCACGAGCCTAATTGAATGTACCTCTAAAAATTTTAGATTTACACGGAACACTTTTGATTTTGGAACCACCAAATAGTTTGATATCTAATAGAAAAGGTCAATAGTCAACATTAAAATAAAAGGGCCAAATAATCTGAGCAGATTATCTATCAATTATAGTTAAAACACACACATCCGTGTATCTTAAAAAGATTGCGTCTTCTTCGTACAAATGAATCGAGACAGGACTTTTGGCGCCACGAGCACGAAAATGAATTGATAAATGATGAGAAGTCAATGGTCCAAATTTAAAAATGCTCCAATTGGAGTGCAAGTCAACTATTCGAGAAGTACACTTTTTTCCTTCTCTTGTTATTATCCGGAGAAGTCAAATTAATCTTCTTACTTTTTTGCAATTACACAATTTTTCATATTTCATAACGAAAACATACACAACAAATATTAAAAAGAAGAGTAAAAATCAGCTTCATCAAATTTTTTTGAAAAACAATTATCATTATAAATTATGCAATACTATGAAGCGTTTATTCGGAAGCGTGCATGTTCTTTTTCGCCAAAAAACAAAAGAAAGCGTGCATATGTATATACTATAAACACATTATGGTCTTTTCAAATTTCAAGGAAGATGTGGTCTGGTTTATGAAAGATTAATGTTGCTCTGAAAATTTACATTTTTTACAGAGAATGATTAGTGGAGCCGTGGCTGTTAAAGTTGCTCTTTTTATAAAAAAATGTTTTGGGATTCTATTTGCCCTGTTTGTGGTGAGCATGATGAGACTTTAGAGCATTTATTGTTTTTATGCTCTTGGATTACTAAATGTTGGTTTGGTTGTTGTCTTGGTTTGTAGTTTAGTGACAAGGGAGTGATAAGGGTTGAACAATGGTTAGAAGAAATGCTTTTTGGTAGCAATGGCTTGGATGAGTATGGGAAAGCCTCCTTAATCACTATTTGTTGGTGGATCTGGAAATGTAGATGTAATTGAGTATTTAAAGGAGAAAAGGTAGATGTTGATTCTGTGGTTAGAATGGTGCAAATTCAAATAAGTGAATTTTGGAGGGCTAAGCAAATAAGCAACAAGAAGGCCAGATGTTTGTCCCTTACTAGATCGTAAGGTTAGAGAAATGAGTGCTTCCAAAAAAGGTTGGTAAAATTTAATGTTGATGGCTCTTTTAATTCTGCTAAGAGGATTGTTGGTGTAGGTGGGATTTGTAGGGATGAGTTTGGCAATACTCTTGGATGTTTTGGGAGGTCTTTGAATGCTATTTCACCTTTTATGATTGAAGGATTGACATTGAAAGAGGCTATAGAGTTGAGTTTTGTATTTGATGCAACTCATATCTCTTTTGAGTTAGATTGTGAAGAATTGTTTATAAGAGTTATGAAGGACTCTATTATTGGTTGTGAATGGCAATGTGTGGATTTATTAAAGGAGATTATCTATCATAAACATTCTTTACAAAATATTTCGTTCTCTCTAGTGGCAAGACAGGGAAATGAAGCTACTGATGTTCTTGCAACTCTTGGTGCAAAAGGGGTGATGAAGCCTGGTTGGCTTTGTGATATTCCATCCTCTATTGTTGTTGTATTATGCAAGGATGTTGATGTCATTTTATCTCATGATAGTGATGCTCAATGTTTTAATAAGGAGGAAGTGGGTTGATTTTGTTTTTTTTTTTTTTGTTTCTTTGGTTTAGGATTGTATTGTAGGTTTATTTTCTTTCTCTTATTTTTTATAGATTGTATGTTTAGGATTTTTACTGCCTTTTGAATTAGTGAGTGTAATGTTTTTGATAATCAATAAAATCGACGTTTTTGGCCAAAAAAAACATCACGGTCTTCTGTTTTGGGCCTGTACATTGTGTTTTGGTCCAAAAGTGAAGTTGCGAACGAGCTGACCTTTTACTGTAGCATATTGGGCTTTCCTGGTCCTCAGCTATACTGCGAAATCCAAGGTCCCTGCCATGACATGCTTTTCTGATACAACTGTGACGTATTTTTTAAGCTGCAAATATTTTTGTATAACTTACAAAATGCGCGCGCGCGCGCGTATATATATATATATATATATATATATATATATTAGTATTTGGTGAGGTGAATGGCCCTCAAAATTTTGTCTAAATTAATACAATTTTCAATCCTTTGTTGCATTGTGTGATAGTTACTTTTTGTGGCATTGTGAGATACGATTGTGCATTAAACACACTTAAGATTGATTAATCATTTTTTTAATCAATTTAAAGTCTTATTTGGTTAAAGCAATGACTGGTCAAGTTTAAAGTCTTATGTGATAATTAATTTCATAAGTTAATTAGTCATTTGTAAAGCATAATTAATTCTAAAAGTTAATTTAAAGAGCCTAAAAGTGTTAATTTTAGTGGTTGTTATAATGTCTCTAAAACCAATCAAAGGTTAAGAGAAAATTAATTTAACGGAGCTAGATAAAAGAGGAAGTTTATATGCCTAGGAAGACTATCATATTGCATTTTAATCACACATTTCATTTAATTTCAAATCTGTGAAGTTTTAGAAAATATTAAAAAGATTAGTTTTTATTTAATCTTTGTTTGTTCAATTTGCAATCATCAAATTGAATAGAATTGTTACTATTTTTGGATAGATCTAATCAACTAGGAGTTTAATTTTTAGTCAATTCTGTGAGAGATTTAACTTAATTAAGTTTTTTTTTTTTACATATTATTGAAGTGCTTCTTAGTTTAATTTAATACGCACTCGACTAGTATACATTCAATTTTGTTAATGAGCACAGAAGATGAATACCAAAATTCTTGAAGAACCTCTTGAAGAATATACAATTACGGATTGGTCACAGAAAAGTGTTCTGATTGTGATATATATTATGAACTAGTGTCCAAGAGGAGGATGGAGAAGGGAGAATTTCATTAAAGGTCTTTTGATGTGATATAATTTTAATTGAAGCTCTGAACTTCTGAAATTTTATTACAGGTCCAGAGGATTGAATGGAGTTTTCTTAATTAAATGATCAAAATACTTTTCAATTATAATTAATATTACTGAAATAATAAGTTAGGTTGTGATTTTTAAAAAAATTATAAGAACAACAAGTTAAGTTATGAGTTTTACAAGCAACATTATTAAAATAAATGCGACTTCTTGTTATTCTTATAATATTAATTATAAAAACCGTAACTTGACTTATTATTATAATAATAATACAATATGTTATTATAGTAATGTTATTTGTAAAAATCATGACTTGGCTTATTATTTTATCAATATTACTTGTAAAAATTATAATTAACTTGACTTGTTATTTTAATTATGTTACTTATAAATTTCGTATTTAACCTCACTTCTTGTGTTGACAATGTTATATGTTAAAATCATAACTTCACTTGCTATTCTAATAATGTTATTTATAAAAATTACAACTTGACTTATTATTTTAACAACGTTAATTACAATTGAAGTATATTTTTGTCATTTAAGTAAAAATAATTGTTTTATTTCAGTCTTCTAAATTTACAGTGAAATTTTAAATTTTTTTAACCTCAATTAAAATTATGTCACATTCAAAATCTTTTAATAAAATTTTCCTTGATAGAGAATGGGCATAAGAGAAATTTCATTATATTCTTCCGATTCTTTTTATAAATCATTTCTATCAACTTTATCAATATCAATGTAAAAAAAATATGAAAAATAAAAGTTTTTAAAATTTTAAATATATTTTATATTTCAAAAATGATATCATATTACTTTTTCTATTTCATGAAGGATAATTTTAAAAATACCTTTTAATTATTACATAAAAAATTATACCGTAACTTATAAATAGAATCAAATAAATTTTTTAAAATATAATTTATAAATAAAATTAAAAGGAATAATAAATTACCCGCACTCTTCAACTAATAAAATTTGTAGTCAAAATTATTTGACAGAATTTTTTTACTCCATGTTATTCTAAGTTATTCTAGCGACCCCACCGTCTATGCTTGAAACAATAAGGAACGAAAAAAATAAAACGGAGAATTATTATAAAAACACACACAGTTACACTTGTCCAATACAGTACCACTAGAATGGAACTGGAGATGAGATTGCACTGTCTGAAGCCGCTACGTGGAGGTCATGGCAAGAAAATCTCTCAAGCAGTCAACCCAACGGCTTCCTGCTTTATTGGAACTAACATCTGAAAGCGAAAAACCATATCCTCGGTCTGCCACAATTAACCACAAGTTGAGGCAACTGCAACACCAACACAGAAAAGAACAACATTACACGAGACATGAACAGCAACAATGCCGCCGCTGATGGCCAAGGCAACCTTGGTTACTTTGTGAACCCTCTCATTATCTCCGGCGCCGGCATCATCTGCTCTTGTGTGGCCTTAGCGACGTACCACTTCATCCTCTTCAGGCTTTGCCTTCAAGGCCGACGACAATTGCGGCAAATAGCTCAGCCAATGAGCCCCCCTCCTGATGACATTCCCTGCGGCGTCGACCCTGAGATCCTCAAGAAAATCCCTATTCTGCCTTACTCTCACAAGAAAGATGACGCCTTTCGTCTGGACCAGACCGAGTGCGCTATTTGCTTAGGCGAATTGCAGGACGGAGAAAAGGTTCGATTATTGCCTTCTTGCAGTCACGCTTTTCACGTACCTTGTATCGATCTCTGGTTCACTCAAAATTCCAATTGTCCCATTTGTCGAGCGCCATTAGTCATTGCCCCTGCGGCTTCAGAAGATCATGTTGCTGATGCTGAGGAAAGGCAGTCTCATCAACGTGATCATGATCATAAGATTGCTGCTTCTGGTTCCACGTCACGAGCCCCTCGTGCTGCTTCCACGATTCGGCATTCTCTCTCTGTGGCGTATCATCACGCGCAGGAAAATCCTCATCAGGGTTCCATGATGGGGTTGAAGAGGTCTCTGTCCATGGATCATTCGTCGTTTGTTTCTGTCAGCATACAGAGGGATGAGGAAAATAAAGCTTCTGCTTCTTCTTCTTCCTCGCCCCCTGTCGCTACAGGAATTGGGATTGCGCATGCTAAAGCGCTTGATCAGGTATCGTCCATGTTGATGATGTCTTTCGCGCAGTTTCGGAATAGTAGAAATGAAAGATCGAAAGGCATTCTACCCAATTGAGATTTGTTTTTTCCCCACCCCCTAAAAAAATAGATTGCGTTGAATGGGCTTCCTTACTCTCATTCTTTCTCAATTCATTTCTGGCCTTTCCAAGAATTCAACCGTAATAAATTTTCCCCCGTTACTATGTGTACAAAGAAGATAAACGCACATTGCTTATACTGTGACGGTGTGACCTTATGGTTTCACGTGTAGTGCATAGATTTGTTGAACGTTGCAAAGAAGGGCCCGATCATAAGGTTTTTTATGACACGCACTTGTACCTTCGTTGCTTAATGCTTTATCGATCAACTTTTTGCAGGTACCTTTTCCCAGATATTTTTCGGTAAGTGAATGTGCATGAATTCGCACTGAATTGAAGATCGTAACCGAAAGAAAAAAAGAAAATGCATGAGCCTGAATGTTTAATGCGATTTCACTACCATGGACGTCCGGGGATACATCAACATGTTTGACGTCTTTAATTCCAAATACGCCCTACATGAAATTGGTATCATTGTGTGAAATATCACACAACAAGATAATGCAAATTTTAATAAGTATAAAAGACGAACAAACTTACTGGACATTTTAAAAGTCAGATGTATTGTCGCGCGCGCGTGTTTATCCAATGCAACTGAGTAGACAGAAAAGGACCGAGCGCATAGGGGCATGTAAACTTTATATCGTGATGGGTAAATTAATTGTTAGGTCCATAGTGCAGGAGAACTCTTGCCTGTGGACCCTGGAAAGCAACGAAAAGTCAATTCACTAGCGACAACAATTTATCATATTTTTATCTATGATAAGTTAAATACTTAAATTAGCATTTTAATAATAGAATACTAAATTTTACAAATTTCTTCGAAAAATAATTCTAATATTTAATGTCATCATGTATGTATGTATGTTTGTGTGTGTGTGTGTGTGTGAAGACAAGTATGATTCACGACAGATTATTTCATCATATTCTAATTTTAAGTTGGTGAGATAATTAATCCTACATTACACGTCGTTACTATTAATGAAATTGGGAAATAAAAAATCTTAATCTACCTACCCTTTCAGTTGAATTCTTGGGTGACGCACGTTTTGCGAATTGAAAACTCTGGGTAGCTATCAATTAACATCTGCTCTACCTAATTGCTTTGGCTCATTTGTTCGGGAGAGAAAATGACGCTACGTAATAAACACGATCTTTCAACATCCGCTACCCTCCCTCCCTCACTTTCTCTCTGTCCCTCTCCATTATTTCCCCTAATTTTCTTGACAAAAAGAAATAATAACAATTAAGAACCAAAGAAAAATGGAGAGCGAAAAAGAAAGAAGGGAGATATATTATATATAGATTAGAACATTGAAAACAAGGAAGGAATAGAACAGAAAAGAGGGCACTGCACTACGGACGCCAAAATTGGCAATGATAAATAGAAAGTAGATTTGTCCTCATTATATTACATGCACGTAATAATAATAGACAGTAAAAAAGGTCGTCTTATCTTTATGTAGACGGCCCATGTGGATGGTGGGCCACTGAAAACTATAAAACGAACTCCACAAAGACTTGCTTTATTGCCAAAAGAATTTCTTAATGACATGTACACCCGCAACTATAAAATATTAAACAAATCTGCATTATTGGTTCTCTTTCACAAGAGAGAATTTGTTGTTTCCTGGGACCCAGATCCCAAAGCAAAGGAAATAAATTCCCTGTGTATCCTTTTTCCTCTCTTTTGAGCATTTACACAACACCCCTCCCCCAATATCAAAGGTCCGGCTACCCTGCATCATGCTAATTAACGAGGTTCTTTCTTGTTTTCGGTAAAAATGGAAAAGAAAAGGAAAAGGTGGGTCGGGTCGGGGTGGAAATTGGAGTTGAATATGTACCAATATTTGTGGGTGGAAAATGATAATAATTAGGAGGCGAATGGAGCCCTGTGAGGAATACCTTTTCTTCTCCTTGCGGTTGAAGCAGGTGGAGGAGGCGTGGCCGGATACATGTCTTGTTGTGAGCCTTCACGCGATTCTTCTTCCGATACTGATCTCCTTGATATTCCCTCCCCCCTCGCCATCGCCTCGTTGTTTCCTTCCAAAGCAAAGTTTGCATCCCCATTCCTCTTCACTCCCACAAGCTATACATGATTCCCCCCCAACACACAGAATCTTGTCATTAATTTAATTAATACAATAATAATTACTTCTACTCATTGACGCACAACCCTTCCCATGTTCCCCCCACTGTCAATAATTATCACTACTAATTATAAAACTCACGCTCCCTCCTCTGCTTTGATTATCATATTATAAACGATGGGAAATGTCAATGCCAGGCCTTCCAATATTCACATGTACATAGGGTGAGTTAATCAAGACTATGAACAGCTAGGTAGCGGTGGGATTATAATTATGATGGCGATGTGTTTTCAAATGTATGTGATGATATGTATCGGTGGTGGGTGTTATGGCCATATGGCGAAGACGATTGAGTTGTGAATGAGGTACCTATTGACAATGATATGAACCAAGAGAGAGGGCACATGGAGGGAGAAATATCTCACCTTACAGCCCAGAGAACAGAAGCGGAATGGGTCCAAGAGGCTTCTTCCGCAAACCTCACAAATGTGAGCCACTCCCTTCCCAGATTTTGGCTGAGGCCTCTCGTTCAGAAACAGGACTCTCGCGCTGTTTATCACGTACGTCTGAACCCCGCCTATGTCCAATACCTTCTGAATCTCGGACACTCTCACCACATCGTGATACGAAGATCGCCTTATCTAATCATTCGAATTCACAACAAACATCGTACGGTGAATCAATCCAGATTATTAATTGCCCAGTCGAGTCTTTAATTATTCACATCGATCGAAATGCCGCATCAAGAATTAGCAAGCAGAAGAAGAGGAAGCTACCTGAATGACCTGATGATCCTTGTGCCTGGATGACCGACAATAAAAGCAAAATGCGTCGCGATTGCAGTCGAGGCAGAACATGTTACACTCGCTCCTGGCGGCGTCGCCGTGGAAGCGACAGACGCTGAAGAAGGAAGTGGTGAGCAGGGGCTCGAGCCAGGGAGGCACCGACATTGTGGTCTGAATCAATGCAAATCAACATTCAGGATCAGAAATTCAGATCAATTTCATCAAGAGACGGAGAGTAAGAAGAAAACGGGAGTGTGACGATGATACCAATAGCCAGCAGGCGGCGAATGTGGGTCAACGGATGAGTGAGCAGTTGAAGAATAAGAGAGAATGGCAATGAAATTCAGTAGAAGGACGACAATGGCAGAGACGTAGAGGGAAGGGAATTGCAGGGGAAAATGCAGAGAAAGAGAAGGGGGGGTGGGGGAGAGAGTAAACGGCCTTGGACTTAGAATTGAACAAGAAGACAGAGGAGGGAGAGAAAGAGAGAGAGATTAAAGAAGAGGAGGGAGAGGCGTTGGATGGGGCAGTGCTGGGAATAGGAAGGAGGTTGGGTGTGTCTCTACGTGGACAAGAGCCAAGAGGGTGGGCGACCTGGCTACGCATCAGCGAAGCGAAGGAGGTGTCCAAAAGCATCAAAGGCCTTTCTCGCCCACGTGTCTGGTTCCCTCCATGTGGCGTCCCCACCGTGGTCCATCCTATACCCCGGTCCCACCTCCCTCCCTCATTCTCGCCTCAATTACTCTACACTCACTCTCCGTTTGCGCGCGCGCCTGTATGACATTATTCACTGCGCCGCTTTCACCCAACGTCTAATCTAATTTTCATGATAAACATTGTGAGAGCAAGTCTTGTTATCCGCTGTATATGAACAATGACACTGATTTATTAGAATCTGAAATAGAGTGGCAGCGTTAGTTGTTTCTCTTATATACGGAAATCTATTTAACTTTAATGAATAATTATAAAATAAATCGCATTGTAAAAATAGTTTGTTTTTTAATATGGTTTATCAGATACTATGATTATATTTAAGCGTCGTTGGATTAAATTGATGATAATTTTTTAAAATATGTCATTTGCTTTTACAAGATTTAAATATGAAACGTCATGTTTAAACAACTGTGATCATTTCACTACGACCAACACTCATTGCAATTTTTTTTTCAATAACATCAATTCAAATTTGTTAAAGTTTTACTTTTGCTATTGGTAATTCGATCAAAGTCTAATTTAATTTTTAAAATTGCGTTTCAATAATGTGTAGTCTATAACTACTCTCTCCGTTAAAAAATATAAGATATTTTTAATCGAATCTCATCTTCAATAAAGTAATTACTTATTTTCAAACTAACCCTATTTTTTTATATTTACTCTTATTAACCACTCTATAATAAATATAAAGTCAGGGCACTTTTGAAAAAAATGACAATGATTACACCTTAAAAGATTAATAATGCCTTACATTTTTAAATATTCAATTCTTCAAAAAATACCTTACATTTTTTAACAGAAAGAGTATTATTTTTTTAAAAAAAGGAAATCAAAAAGACATGAAAGCCAGCATTAATATAATTTTAATTTTCAAGAAATCGTAATTTCTATGTGATTTGGCAAATGGTTCATTGTTTGAAATTAAACACGTTCTTAATTAGTCTTGATAGGCGTACCTTACAAGTAAGCTGGTTCCACATGGCCCGCTTGAAATTAAGAGATAAGCACGCTCTAATCAAGACTTTATCCTCCAATATCGAAAACAAAATGTCAAAATCTATTTGGGGGTTATTCTCCAATATCGAAAACAAAATCTATTTGAGGCGTCTTTAAATCTTAATTGCTCATAATTGAGGAGGCAATAAGAAATTGAACGCCTCCTATATTGATCGATGCAGGAGCTGGGGATGTGTTTGGTGATCGACAAATTAAAGGGAATTATATAACGGCAAAAATTAAACCACGTATCTATTCAAATAAATACGGTCATGATCATATTTTATATATATATATATATATATATATTTTTGCCAGAGGTCATTATTAGATTATGAAATGTTCATAATTCTGTTGGATTTATTGCCATTTACACGTTTATGAAAGACACCATTCATATAATAATTGCTTCTGAATTTCCAGAGCAAGATATGCAAATCCATCGGAATCATCCTCACATGATGAAGCGTGCTGTCTCATTTGTGAAACACATTCATGTTTTCATGATCTTAATTATCAGAAAGTTCAGGACTTTTTACTCCCTTGATTATTTAATATTTCGATTTTTTTTTTACCTCAATACTATTTGGAAGTTAAAACCTTGTTTTCGACTACTTTCAAGATACGATTACATCATAAATTATGTCAAATGGATATATCCCTTAGTAAACCATAAATATTGTAGGCAGGATGTCATGTCAGGAAGGAATTAATTAAATTACTATGATCAACATCACGCGAATATCATTTAACTAATTCCCTCTTATGTATTTTTCTTGTTCCTGAATCAAAAATCAAATTACATTTCTTGTTTGGGGGGTTAAATATTTATTTACCGGTCTTATCACGGCAACTCCAAAGCTGGTGGTGGGGTCCACGACTATAACAAGAAAAGCCATAAAAACTATGAAGATAATTAATTCCTCATTTAGCGGATGTATATATATTGTTGAATAGATTCTTGGGGCTGATCAGAAGTTATTACCATTGATCTGTAATTTGATGCATGGCAGTATTTTAAAGGAAAAGAAAAGAATATTCTCTTTGGAATTTAAGAGACTACAAAATGTTTACGTGCACAGCAAGAAAACCTTTCTCGTGCCATTACCGACATTGTGACATTCACCAAAACTAGGATTACCATTCACCATTGAAAGAACCTTTGATTTCCTTTTTCTTTAATCATGCCATTAATTTAAATTTCATAGCGCCAGAAAGAAAAAAAAATCATATATAGTCATACAGCCAATAATTAATTAGTGAAAGCCACTAGTTTTCCGTTCTTCCTCCTAGTTTTGGTCAAATTGAAAAGTTTCACTAACATGAATGTATATTCACGGCACTCACATTGTTAGAAATTCAAGTTTCTATTCTGCCTAAAATTGCGTTAGTTATTTAGTGAATCAAACCTAATGTTTCACGAGCTACATAGTTTGATTGTTTCGCACTCGTACGCTGCTTGAATGAAAGGTAAACAAAAACATTAAAAAGGAAGGAAAAGGGGGGAATCAAAGGAGAAGATAACGGCGACTTTTTACTAATATCAGTGATTGTAAAACAAGAAAGCGAAAAGATGATATGCATGATGAGAAGGAAAAAGACTTAAATTGAGGGATTTTTTTTGCAGACCCGAAACCATAGTTACGAGAGTCAAAAAGTAAAAATTAACAGAAAAGAAAAGTATATATAGTTTGATTGCATGATAAGAATGCGAATCATGCGGTATATATTAAAACGTAGTATCCAATTAAGCCAAACAAAGAAAAAGTGGTTCCATCAGAATGATCTCATTCTCACACTGCTAAAACCGATCAATGACCGCATGATCACCGTCAAGACAACATGCCTTACTTAATCAGTGTTCTTAATCATTTCAGTGTCAGGTTTTAGAAAGCCAATCCCATACATTAACAGAGAAATAATTAACTGTGTGAATTAGTGCAGTTAATTAAGTACATATCTTTGTTCTGAGTGATGACCATAAAAAATGAACCACAAAGTAGTAGTCAGGTGCATAATTATATCGTTAATTTTGAAGCTTCATCATCTTGGCAAAGGAACAAGGAAAAGTGAAAGCCAAAGCGCTGTATTATACACCCACACACGCCCACACATGCACAAACCATATCTAGCCTGGCAAATCAGAACGTTATACTAATTAATAAGAAAGTTGAGCACTTTATGTAGAGAGCAAGGCTGGCAACGAGGGAATAGGGAAAAGAAAACTATACCAATATATATATATATATATATATATAATCAGCTGCATGCAGTTTCCTTATGATTTAAGGTGTAATAAACTTATAATAATTGGATAAATCCCCAGGATACATGCAAGGTGCATCGCATGCTTCCAGTTCTACAAATCACTTTTTCAAGCGCAAGATAATGTTGATCCTTTCGCAATTATTAATATAAAATTAAAGCATTGCCTCTTTCACCTTTTCAAAAGGCATTGGCCTCAGCCTCCTCCACTTCACGACAAAATATTTGAGAACCCATCCAAAATGTTTTGAATATATATTCTTATAACAAGATTCACACTACTGTAAATTTAAAGTTTCTTGGTTGATTATATATTTGTATTTACACACACATATATTGAGGACAAGACAGCGACATTCTTCTAACCCCCCCTCTTTGTTTCTTTGTCATCCTAATTTTATTCATTTTTAAAACGCGTATTTTCATAATATTATATTGCTTAGAGTGTTGTAGGGACTGCAATAATGCTCATTGTATAACACTTTTTTTTTTTGTGTTTTAAATGTTGTAGCTTTGTTGGGATTAAGGTTTATTCGGCGGTTTATATATCTTAGGGAAATTACTCCCAGGAATTACTTGAAAGAGGCAATTCTACACTCAGGTTGCTTAAAATCTTCATTTTATTTTAAAGTTTGAATTTTTTTAAATAAACTTTGAAAAATAGTTACTAAAATACATTTACATCTTCTTTAAAAAAAAAATCATCAAGGTACATTACCGCGAGTGGTGATTGGTCATAGTAATACTAGAGCCCATGACTTTGGGAGGATGAAAGTTGGGTCTCATAATATTGAATTAATGATATTTAAATTTTCAATAAATTTTTTTAAAAAATAAGTTAAAAATATCGATCCAGATGATAAAAAATTTAGGAGTTTCAAATGTAAATAAATATTTAAGTATCAAATATAACTTTTAGATTGTAAAATTTTTTTTCTTATAATTATTTTAATTAATATTTATAATTTATTTTGTAAAATTTTTTTATCAATGACCTAATTGTTATTAATTCACTTCTTTGGGACCTAATTGGCATTCTCCCCATGACTGAAAAAATGACAGTTAAGTCCTTAATAAAATTTAAAAAAAAATAAATTAAAAATATTGATCTAGATAATAGAAAATCTAGAAATTTCAGTTGTAAATAAATATTCAAGTATCAAATGTAACTCTTATATTGTAAAAGAAATTTTTATTTATAATTTTTTTTTATTAATATTTATAATTTATTTTGTAGAAAATTTTATTGAGGATCTAACTGTCATTAATTCACTACTTTTGGACCTAACCATCTTTCTTCCTTTAATTTTTTTAAAATAATAATAATTGACATAAAAAATAAATATTTAAAAGTAACAATGTTAGAACAAGAGAATTGAAAATATAATTTTTAAAATTAAAAGACTAGATTAAAAACTTATATAAAATTAGAAGATCTACATTTTGGCTAGTATAAAAAAAGTACTCTTTAACCATTAAATTATATTACGTCTTTTTTTTTACCAATATATATTCTGTCATAATTTGAATAATTTATTGTATGTAAAAAACAAATTAATATATCTAAATTCAAATAAATTTAATAAAAGAGAAAGATATAGCTCTTAAATTTATTATGCTTAATTTATGTAAAGAAAATAGATTTTCTTTCATGGCAGTTAATTAACAAATGTGTCATTCCAATTTATTTTAATTGAAAAGTTATGGGATTTTTTTTAAGTAAGAATTTAATTGGAGATATAAAGAAGCCACTTGAAAGTTTAATTTATAGGCTACTGAATTCAGAGATTAACTGTAAAGAAGCCAGCTAGATACTAAGAATATAAACAACGAAAAGCGAGACACAAGTACATCCAGAGACAAGAGTACATTTGGACAACTGACATTTTTAACAAATAATAAATGAGAGTAGCAATAAAATTGAAATTGATAAGCTATCCAAAACAGCTGAAAGAAAAACGAAGTTTGGCTTCCAATAATTTATTATGAGACAATGGAGGTGTTTGGATTTTTTTAAGCAAAACCATGGTTTTGTTCAATTAATCGATTCCAACTCTGCATCCAAAGGGGCACATACTTGTCCAAATAAAAACCTAAAAACTTGCACTTGGTGAAGCACAGTTCCACTTGGCATTTAAAAGTAATTAATTAGTTTTAATCATATTTTAGTGATTGCAAATAATTAATTCGTGAAAGTGCATGCTGAGATCATCCGTCTTGTAAAAGTTAGCCTCTCTTGTGTATTATAATGGGCCAGTTGAATTATATTACATATTTCACGAGTTGCCGTTCATGAGCCAGTGATTGATTCGACGATAATTACCATTTAAAGGGAAAGAAGAGGAAATGGCGTGAGATTGCTAATCAATTATCCCAATTTAGATAATTCTTGTTCCATCCATATATACGCAAAAACCATAATTGGTCCTCCACTAAGGTTCACGGCAAAAGTACCTTTTCAATTACAAATATGAGCCAAGTTTATAGATATAATTGCCTTGCTTGAGTCTTGAACTAATTTCATAGTCCAACCATTTAAAGAAAAAGATCTCCGAAGAAAGGTCTTGTGAAATGGTTTAATCCGTGGAGTATTATTTGGTTAAGATTTTTTTAGCCTCCAAGAAATATGTGTTGATTCAAATATTAGTCTATTATAATAAATTTTTACTTTACCCTTTTTTGAAGTTTTTACACTGTATTGGTTAGATGGTATCATGGTAGACCCAATTTATTTTATAAAATATAAAGAAATGAGTTATATTATTTACAATTTATCCGTAGCTCAGTATTTTTGTAAATTTTATATCTTGTTTTCATATAGAGACCTAATTGACTGATGTTAATATTGATTGACACAAAAATAATAGTTCTCCAAACTACAATACAAGTTATAGTTAACTAATTTACGGTTTACGAATAGTGTTGTTAAAATTTTAAATTTTAAAAAATATTAACATCTTTTCATTTATATTCTCATTAAATACTCTATGTACATAGTTTAAATTAAAATTTCAGTACATGATTTTTTTTTAAAAAAAGTAATAAATAAAGTAGAGGTATAGTTAAAAAAATAAATATAAAAATTATTTAATATCCTATATTTTGAATCAGACAAGGTTTCTAAAAAATGTTTTACATTATGGTCTGCAAAGAGTATAATTTTTAAATTAAAATACATTAACTTCCATGCGTTCCTTCTAGTTTTAAAATTTATATAATTTCTCATTGAAATAAAAACTTATACAATACAGTGTTCTTTTCTACTTTTAAGATTCGATTTCTCCGTTTAATTCAACCATTAAATCATATATTTTAGAAAGTACCGCTTCCCTGAGAAATAAGGTTGCCTACATTCTACTATCATCTTCAAGCAAGCGGTTTCAGAATCGATTGGATTTTTTTTTTTTTTTTGGTGCGGGGATGCTGTACGACCCCTTGGACATTACAATCTGATAGCCTTGGATGTACTTCCCTAGCTCAAAAGCATAAGGTTGTACCCTAAATTCCTAATACGTATGGGTAACCCTTCATTTTATATTCCTAGAAAACACCTGCTCATCCCATCGTCCTTGGTTCAAGTTCTTGGCGCGTTGTACGATATATCCAACAGTGAAGACTAACAAGATCATTGTTTATTCACCAAAAGGCTGGACTAAGTTAAAATAGGAATTTTGTTTATACTCCTCAGTCCTCACTTCAATCCCTTGCGTGATTCAATGATCAACAAAGCTGAAGCTAACAAGGTATTGATGGACAAATTAACAGTAGAACAAAAGTTGATTGCGCATGTGATGACACCATGACATCATTAAGTTACACTGACCGACATATCAAGTATCAAGAGTCCTCCACTGAGAGAAAGAAATCAGCTCCCGCCAGTGCAGGTAATTCGACAGGTAAGCTGAATAAGAAACTCTTCCTCGTCTTCTGACCCTCCTCTGGCAGGTTAACGTTTGATGGGCATTCAATGTCCATAGTCCATACAGCCAGATGAGGGGACTAAGGAGTTATGCAGTGAACTGGACATCTTATTTGATCACATCGTTAACAGTAAAATCGCACATGAAAAAAATAGTAATAAAAATCGCACTAAAATGTAAACGAAGTCCGCACGCGCACACAATAAAATCATTCAACAATTAACCTGTTTGCTTAACCAAGAACTAGTAAGGTATAATTTAACAGCGTAACAACTGGTAGAATGTTTGCTTAACCAAGAACCAGTAAGGCATAATTTAACAGCGTAACAGCTAGTAGAATGTTTTTGTTACACATTCTTCCTAAATTTTGTGTCCCTTTATTTTACAAGTACACATCCAAACCGCAGCCCTACAGACACAGCCATAACAGAAGTATCGTTCTCAGACGTTTTTCTTTCCACATCCGACCCAAGCCGTGCCAAGGAAAGGAATTAACCATTGTTTGAGCTAGGCAACTGATATTTCACTTGGTTGATTCAATTGATAGTTTACTCGGCATGACAGTCCTACAAGATTGAACAAAATTTGATTCTCCCAATCAATCAACTTGCCTAAGGCTTAACATTAAACTAAAAATATTAGGAGTCCTTATTCTTCTAAACGCCCAAGCTCTTTCTCCCAGTTAAGGCCAAACATTTGCCTACCAAAAGGGACGATGAGATTATATCGAAAAACCTGCAGAAAGATGTAAAATTTATTAAATGTGCATCGCACTTATCAAAACCAGAATATAAAACTCCAAATAAGCAGGCATTGATCATCAAAGCTTTTAGAGGAAAATCACCACTCACCTTATTATTGATGTCTCGTAATTGCGTTTTCAAAGCTTCAGAACTTTCTAACCACTTAAGATTATCACTGCACTTATTTATCCAAGATTTTTTCAATGCCACTCTCCATTCAGATATGTTAATTCTTATTTCTTTGTTAAGCTCAACCCACTCCGGCGCACAACCATTTTTGGATAGGATTCTGTACAAGGTATCTTCAGCTGGATCTGCATGAGGATTCATGTCTAGCTTAAGCGGCTTGCCTTTCCCCGGTAAGTTTTCAAATTGTCCTTCTTCCATGGAATGCCATATTCTTTGCTCAACAACGTTGATAATATCAGTTTCTGATCTGTCCAATGATTAACGAAGGTTTAAGCGGAAGATGAGGAGAAAGTATACACAAAGTAATCCACTATACAATTTCAAGAGTACTTGCTTTATTGGCATAAGAAAGAGTCCCCAGTTTTTCTTCCCCTTATGCTCTTCTATTACTCCTCCCGTATTCTTTATAAGTTATTTCTATCACTCTCATCAATATCAGTGCAAAAAAAAAAAAGTATAAGAAATAAAATTGTGTAAAATTTTAAATATACCCATATGAAACAAATTTAAAAAGTAATGTCATGTTATTTTTTCTTTCTCATGAAGAGTAATTTTAAAAATACATTTTGAATATTACCTAAAAAGCTGTACTATGACTTATAAACGAAACCAAGTAAATTCTAAAAACCAAGTAAATTTTTTAGAATGTGCTTTATAAATGGGAACAGGGAGTGCTTTATTGCAATCTATTAAATTCACCAATTGCAGAACCAGGAAGCATGAAATAGAGGAAGGCCAAGAAAAGCTTAAAACATCAAGTGAGCGTAGAAATATCAGTAACTATGACCAAAGGAATCCTTGAAACAAGATATAAAAGAAAAGCATGACCCAAAAAAGCATATAGTTGGTCTTGCATGAAATTACAGGGTCCAACTACTTCCCACAAGCTTCAAGCCACCCCTTCTTATCCTTCATCTATACAAATTAACATCCTAAATGGCCAAAAAAGAACATGAAATGTCCGTTCAGCAGCGAGAACCTAGAATTATATGAAAACGCACAAGCTCATAGTCCAATGAAATTTAAAGATGATAGAGTAAAGCAGTCAATGCAACGGGTAGGAATAACCACTAATGCAACATTTTTAATCAGCCAAGGCACTCTGCGTTGAGTTAATGACATAAATGATAAGGCCACTAATCTACTAATAAGAAATTATAAATCCCTATATAAAAAGAGGAAGAGGAAGAGGAAGAATGAATAAAACTGCAAAGAAATTAACAACGAAAAACAAATAAACCTTGTGATTAGACAAAATCGAAACCAATCAACTCCCCTTCAAACCATCGTTACTTTAATAATTAGATTTTAAGAACAAATCATTCTACTAAAACTGTGCAATAATCCTAGACTACCTGACATTGTTGCGCTGACCTCGAAGTTCAGGAGGTAGTTTGCGATCGTTGACAGCGTCAATGACAGCTGAAAGACGATCAACAAACTTCTTCACCACCTTCGGAGATTTACTGGACGATGACGACGTGGGCGAAGGCGATGCGGAGGAAGAGGAAAAAGACGAAGCGCATCTATTACCGGATAGGGAAGGGCCCCCCACTAATATTAACGGAGAGGCGTCATCCACGGCCGATCGCTGCAACAGAGAGCGCAATTTCTTCGATCTCCGAAAGCAGGTCGCCATGTCCTAATGGCTTCCAGGGATCTCGAGTCCTCCAATCAGTTGGGTCCGCCGCCAATGAAAACCTTTCAATCAGGAAAACTTTCGGTGCTCCTCTCGATAGCAGTTTTGGCGGCTACCCTGTTTCCACGTGGACACTTAGAAACTCGCCATTTCACCCTCGCCTCAAACAGCTGCCTTTCTTATATTGGAAGCTCGAGAGGCTTGTGGAGCCAACATATTTTTTTCCTTGTGGAAATTTTTTGTTTTCCGTACAGACTCATACACGAATCTCCAGAGGATTTTAGGCCTAACTCCTAAAGCCAAAGCGGGCTTGTTTGGTACTTTCATATTTTGCTAAAGAACTTTGTCTATAGGATCGGTACAATGCCTTAAAATTTTTTGCGGTCGCTCCTGGTACTGTTTTGTAAGGTCTGTTGTAATTAGAGATGGACTTTTCAAGAATGGAAACATGCCTAAAAAATTATCATTCCTTAAGAACGGAGGGATAGATAGACGTCTGTGAAATAAGATGTTCAAAATTGTACCTGCAGGCCGCAAGGACTGCGTCTAACTTAATGTTCTCATCAAACCATAAGATGATATTACAATTTCTGGAAATATAAATGCAAAACAAGGAGAATGGAATTCTTTTATAGTCAAAGAAAGAAAGAAAGAAAGAGGAAGCCTCGAAAAGGAAACATTAGTAATGAGATTGTTCGGCGTCATCATCGGAATCAGAATTAGTGTCGGGTTTATCACACATAGGAGTGGTGAAGTAGAAGGGTTGGAGCACAAATTTGACGACATCGCGATAGATGGAAGTGGGATTAGTGAGCTTGAGTCCAGACCTTCCACGACCAAAATCAGTGAGAATGTTGCATGCATAGTCAGGGGACGACACCAATCTCGCCGAGCATAGCTTCGTATCCAACTTCTTTCCGTACAAATACCTTTTCACTGTCAAATCAAATTGCCCTGTTTCATCTGTTGTGTCGCTTGTATAGTATATCACCCTGCTTCTTCTGTCCAGGCACGTCAACGACACCTTACTTCCTGCGTAAAGTATATAGCTAGCTCATAGCTTGTAAAGTGAAAATCGACAGGGGAATATGGAAATGAAATTTTCACAAATATGAATACTTTGTCGCAAAAAGTGACGTACCTTTGATCGGGTCGGATCCATGAATCCATTCGTTCCAGCCCTGAGAGCAGTCCTGGCACAGTACTTTGCCAGCAACGTGGATGATTCCATTTGCTTCATCTGAAGCCAAGACAATGTGAGTGGTGTAACTCACTAATACTGATGCTGCAATCATCAATGCCACTGCGAGTTTCATCATCTTGTCTCTTTCTCCCTCGCTCCTTCAGTTTGCACAGGAGGATAGCTGAAGCCTGAAGCTACTGAAGGGGCCGATGCATTTATATAGGACTCATGTTTGAATTAGGAATAGAAGTGGGAGAGCACCACTGTTTGCCTATTGACGTGCCAACCATCATTCAATTCTTTATCGTTAGCTTGCTGACGCATCAATTCAACTATATCACAGAATTGGAGCTCGCACCCAGCTTAGCTAACTAACGGCCACATTAGAAAAGCTCCCCCCACCCCCCCCCCCAAAACGAAAAAAAAGTTGACAAAATTTCAATAAAATACTTTTGAAATACTCAAATGATAGTTAAATACCATGATAATTATTTTGTAAGTCTTTAAAAACTTGCTTGTTAATTTATTTTAATGTGAAAAGAATATTTTATCTTTACATAAAATAAAAAACTTGTCAGACCCAATCATTCTTCTCCTTCCAAATCACAGCTCCAACTAGTTATTACAGATCGTCTTCAAATTTCTGACAGTAACAATGAAGATTGCAGATTGTTGCTTCTTTTCTTGCTTTAAGCCATTGTTGCTTTTGGATCTAATCCAGATCCCGTCATAGATATCGACATATCCGCGTCACCATCCAAACCCCTCCCGCAAAAACGCATCCTTAGCCACAGTCCATGACTTCACATTTTTCTGGGTAAAATTTCCGGGAAACCTCAAGAAGTCTAGGTTTTCTACCACGCCTGTCAACTGTAAGCTCTTTCCAGGTCTCAACACTCTCGGAATGTCATTCGTGCGCGTTGATTTCGACGTTAGAGGTGTTAATGTGCCTTGCTTCCATCCTAAAGCGATGGAAATAGCGTATGTGTTAGAAGGTAAGGTTTATTTTGGATTCATGACACCAGTATAATAAGATTTTTGCGAAAATAATTGAGAAAAGGAGAGGTCATGGTGTTCCCAGAGAGTTTGGTTCATTTCCATATTTGGCGATTTACCGGCAGCTCTTTTGGGTAGCTTCGATAGCCAGAATTTTGGGTTGTAGAATATCCCTAATGCAATTTTTGGATCTGGGATCAAGGTGGAGAGTCTGGAGAAGGATTTTCGACTGAGCCCTGTCGAGCTTTACAAGTTGAGAAAAGGTTTTCTTCTAGATAACTTGCCGTGTCATGCACCAATATTCACAATACAAGAACCCCAATACAATAATGTGTATTTGAATGCAAAAATAATCGTGTAAGTGTTGTGTGAATATTAGGGCTCTACAGAGTACTGACCTGATAGTATTTTAACCTAACTTAAAATTTAGTCCTTTTTATAAAAAAAATTAAGTAAGTAGCATGTGGTTTGCTCTAATTTTAATATAACTCAAAGCTAAATAGGATCAGATTAATTTAGTAAAACTAGGACATTAGTCCCGATCTTATCTAGCATTTCACTTTCTTTTTCTTTTTCATCCATAAGAGTAGCAATTTATTTTAACATAATAAATTTAATTAACATAATAAAATTACTCATAGTCATATAAAATTTATCACAACAATAATAATTATAAATTCATAACAATCTCCAATAACAAAAAAAATATTTCAATTATAACACAAATTATTCAAATTAAACAACCTTCAACATATTTAAAGTCCATTATACCAAGTTAATAACAAATTTCATCAATAAAAGGAGAAAACTGAGGTTAGTCAATACTAAAATTTTATTCAGTATTCATGACTTCACAAGTATAAAACACAAAAAATACTAATTATTATTATAAATTAACTTATTGTAATAATAATTAATAAATTAATTATAATTATATTAAATAAATTTATAAGATCAGACCGGATCAAGTGGTCCAAATGTTCGATCTCTTGTCCAATCCAACCCGAATAAAGAGTTTGGTCTTTTTGATCCTGAAAGACCAATTTTTATTTGGATTAGATAGGATCAAATTTGTCTCGAGTTAACTGGAGCGCACTAGATTGAAGGACTTTTATACAGCTTTAGTGAATATGATAGAATAAGTTTCAATTTTTCAAGTATTTGTGCTTCTTAAAAATATTATAATCTATTCAATTTTAGATGGTAGCCCCCCCAGCCTTAAGGGGGACAAAGCAAAAGACCAGAAGTTGCTTCTACCACATAGATGATGCTTTGCTTGTTGAAGGCATTATTTTTTATTTTAAATTTTAAATTAAGGGGTAAATATGTTGTTCCAGAAAAAATAAAAATGCCAAACAAGTTCCTAAAGATTAGAAAATACTTATCACATTTCATGATGCTTATTAATCATATGCATATTTTAAAGATATTTTATTATTATTTTCCTTAAAAAATAAATAAAATCTAAAATATTTTTTTCTTGGGCAAGAAAAAAGTGACTTTTATTAAAAAAAAAGTCAAGAGATGAAATAAAGCCCATGCACCAATTCAATATCAGCTCTATCAAACCCAACTTAAAACATAACAAAGAATGGAATATGGATAAAATAGGGAAGGCATTGCATTGGTTGATATAATCCTACATACCATATGTAATCTAATATGCACATCTGTTTGATTGTTTCAACTTATTTTTTGAAAAAAAAATTATTGTACAAATTTTTATGATGTTTGTTTAAATTTTTAAAAATAATCATAATATAAAAAAAGTATATTTGTAACTATTATGATTAGCTATTTTAAGTAATTTCTAAAAATAATTTGATGCAATAAATGAGAATATTATAAAAAAATATGAGATGCATGATGATATCATGAAATTTTAAAGTAAGTAAATAATAAATTATTTTTATAAAATAAAATCAATGAAGATATCATAAAATTTAAAAATAACTAATTAATAATATATTTTTTTACCAAAAGCAAAACTGCTATCCTAAGAACCAAGTCTAAACATTACAAACCAAACAATAAAAAAAAAAGAAACCAACTAAAACAAGGAAATCCAAACAAAACAAAAACAAAAGGAAGCTAGAGAGTAAATTATTCTGATAAACAATAATCCTAACTAAACTAGAACTAGTTGCTAGGAAGAAAGTGAGTAGGGATGGGGGGTTTAAACACCTTATCAAATGAGCACATCCCTTTAGAAGCTATCTAGCTGCGCTTTACTAAGAATAAACACATCTCCTAGAACCAAGCTGATCACCTTTAAGCATAATATAACCCTAAAAATAGCTTGCAACAAGAGACAATTACCAGACTCCTCCACCTCCAAAAATATATCCACAACCAAAATAGAATTAAACATCATACTACTAGGGGGAACCTATCTCAAATCATTTTTTACTTTGCCCCCAATCAATCTAAATAAGCATGCTAAAACATGACTATATGAAAAACAAAATATCGTAGGCAAATAGATGAAGATCTCAGGTTAAAAAAATGAATCAAGGCCCTCTTATCTCTTAAAATCAACACTCTCAACAACTAGAGCATAACATATATCTACCCAGTAGTGCAAAAAAGAATGACTCCACATGACTTAATCATAATTGTGTACCAGAAAAGATAATGAGAAACCAATAAAGAAATAGCTCTAATAAATCCCTTCCAAACTAACACTCTTAGAATAATCAACCAAATTAGATCCAATCCCTAGTAATAAGAAAGAAACTAAGGGAAAAAGGGTACAGTTAATGTCAAAGTGTTGAGGTCTGGAGTCTACAATCTTACCTTGAAAAACCCTAATCCAGTCATTGGTTCGCACGTCCTAAGCCATAATCCGGGGTTCAACATTGTAGTATCCCAATTTTTTAATGTTAAAATTTTAAAATAATTAAGGGTGAACTAGTAAATTAGTGGACTAATCAAGTTAATCACGTCTTTGAATTACTAATGGTTCTATTGGGATGTTTGGATAGCTTTGAAATTGAGTAAGGACGTTAATTAGGCCAACTAGGCCTAATTGGAGGCCTAAAATTTCATGTGAACCAATTAAGCTATTCGCCATGGTAGACATGCCTAGCACCACCATGACGAATGATGAAACATTTCATTAAATCAAACATGCTTAGTTATAAGAAATACAAGGGGATGAGTAAAGAGTCAAGGAAACATGTAACATCCTGGGGAAATTAACCAAGATTAAGTTAAATTTAATGAGGTTAAGTGTGAATTATTGTGATGTTTGGCTAGAGAGGTCTAACCAAAGTTTTTTTATTGTGGTTTTAACTTTAGATTTAAGTCCGAAGTGAAGTCAGGTCACCCAGACGTCAAAAAGCACTATAATAGAATAAGCTAAATATGACCAATTGTATTTGACAATTATAAGTGTAAAACGACAAATAAAAAAGGCACTAAATACTTGACGATTGTTTTGAAACAATCGTCAAGCATTTAGTATATATTTAATAGTTATATTGTCATAACCGTTAAATATATCTTCATCTTAGATTAGTTTTTTTATAAATATATTTGACACTTGTTTACATATAACCATCAAGTATATTTTAATATACTTGATAGTTATTTGTAAAAAAGCATCAAATATATAATTTAAATAGAAAAATTAAAAAAATTAATTACATGATACTTGATTATTAAGAACCATCAAACATGTCTGCCTTTTATTTGATAGTTGTTTAGTGACAAGTGTCAACTAAGAGATACTTGACTATAATAACTGTCAAGTATTTTGTTTTAAATTTATGCTTCAGAACCTTTCATTTTTACATTTCTGCAACTCAAACATTTTCAGAAACACTCCTAGACTGTTCAAAAATCATTTTTCATCACAAAAACTACCTAAAAACACATATTTACACTCGATTCTTCTTGGGTTTTGCTCATAAGTTTCATTTTCTAGGGTTTATGTGTTTGTTTATCCAAGACTTTATTTTCAGCGTTTTGGGTTCATTCTTTATCCTCCATGTGTAAGTTTAATTTCTCTTTCATATGCTTAATTCATTTTTGGGTTTAGTATTTAGGGTAAATCTGACTTGAAATTTTCTCCTTGCTTTTCAACAGTGTAAAATACAGATTATCTTCTCTCCTCCTCCCCCTACTCTTCTTTTTCATCCTAGTGCTCTTCCTCTCTTAAGTAAGTTGGCCTATCCTTCTTCCTTATGGCATTTTGTCAATTGATTGTAATTAGGGAGTTAATTGAAATTAACGATTGGAATATAAA